AGGGTTTTTGGTGTGGGGGGGGGGAGGAGGAGAGGGAGCAGATATGATCTCCCCAGGTCTGCAAAATCCCTCATCCAGGACCGGTCAGGTACCCAGGGTGCCGGACTAGGGAGGTCCAACCTGTACTTAATGGGAAAATATGTTTGAGAATTGAGTATTTAAAAAACCTAATGTTCAGAGTGGGAATGTTAAAATGAGTGTAATTAAGTAACTATTTAACCGAACCCTGAGAGCTGACACACACCAGGAGCCAACTTTTAAGCTGTCTCCCTGTGCGTAACCGGGACCCTGTATTTAACTGGGAATATTAACCCATGAGCCCAGCTCATTGGTTAACCCTTTAAATAGTTACCTTTTCACATCTCTAATTCAGAAATCTCTGAAAAAGGTGTTTGATTGGTACACAGGTAGAAACAGCAGAGGTTAAACTTTACAATCTCAAATGATTAATGTTATATTTTTACTGAAACTTGGATAAAGTTCATCTCTGAGTTCATTACTTGGTATTCCAAATCTCTAGGGCATAATATACACTTTAAAAGCCAATATTACAGAACAATGTTTCCGAAAGACTGACATTCTTCCTAACAGCTGCTGCCATACAAAAGCAAACTTTAAGATATTATGCTGAACTATTTTTGAAAACCAAAATTATCTATATTTTAACCTAACATACAAAAATATTAAAAGACACTGCAAGATTGTTGAAATAAATGCTCAGATAGTTACTCGAAAACCCGACACTCTTCTCTTATAGAATGCTTTGTTTTAGAATGTACTTGGTGGGTTTAATATTTTATAGTCAATTGCAATGCTTTTGTGATCTTTTATTTTAAACCTTATTTTTCACGTCCTTTTATTTAAAACTAACAACAGAGGGTCCAGAGTTATACCTATGTTTAATGGATTTTAACCAATCATAATTAAAGCAATAAAAGAGTGTCTGGATTCAACAGTATTAACATCTCCTCAAACATCTAAATCCTAATGTCCAATTTCACTTACTGGAAGTAAGAAAAGACCTACTGTGCATCATAACTCATTGTGTCTATTATTATTATTATTCAACATTAACTGATCATTCAGAATGCATTAGTGCTCATCACTAAGATAATTCTTTAGCACAGGAAGCCTCAAAAGATCTTTGAGCTCAGTAAAATATTAAACACCTCTCTCTGGTCAACACAGATGTTACACAGCAATGAACTAGCCCTTCAAAAAAAAAAACAAACCAAACCTGGTACTTTTGTCAAATATTAAAGAGCAGACTGGAGTCTGCACACACAGCATGCATGAGGAGAATAAGTGGAATTGTGACATTTAAATAATTTTTAATTTACAGTTCATCAACTCTTGAAAGCATGCATGAGGAGAATAAGTGGAATTGTGACAGTTAATTTCAAGAGTTGATAAAGTAAAAATTATTTAACATTTTAAAAAATACTCCTATATGTAAATAATGAACAGGAGTGAGAGAAAGAGAAAAGAGAACGAATGGAAAGCAGAAGGATTAAGAGAGAAAAGAGGATGGGTAAAGGAAAAGTAGTAAAAGGTAAAAGAGAAGCAAAATAGTGTAAAAGGAAGGATTCAAAATGTTCAAAGGAACATTTTACTGCAGATAATTCTCTAACAAGAGACAAGAAAGGGAATAAAAGGAGCAATTCACCACAGAATACAAATACGAAGCAGCAAAAGTATTTATTTGTTCAAAAAAGGAAGAAACAGCAATGATATTTGTTGCTGAAATTACCATAATCACTGACAAGAATAAAAAAAGATGCAAATGATTTCATCATATATCTTTGATTTTAAAATTGCACCTTAACACAAATGGCAGCAATACACAAATCCAATACATCACCTGCATTTGGTCCACATTTAGACAAAATCTAAGTTTTCCACAACTGATTATTACACTGAAGCAAGAGGTCACCCATATTAATTTCACTGTTGCATTTCATTCCACCATTTTCTGATTTGATGTGTAGCTCTTCCTTTCTACAACTATCAGGCAACCACAACAACCATTTTATAGGTATTTTTGTTCCCTTTCTCACTTATTCTGTCTTGCTGTGACTGCTTCTTTCCAATTTATAGCTTTCTCACTTATTCTGTCTTGCTGTGACTGCTTCTTTCCTATTTATTGTATAGCCATTCCTTGTAAATACTATTCAGACAGATCTGATGAGGAGCTAGGATTAGGTATGCCAGGCTTCTGGTTTTTGTCCAGAATGGCCGATCAGAAAGACACTTGGGGCTCTAGTTAGCACCACTGACTGAGCCATTAACAGTCTAGTTGGTGGCACAATGGGGCTAAGGCAGGGATGGGCAAGAGAACAGTCTAGTTGGTGGCACAGTGGGGCTAAGGCAGGGATGGGCAAGAAGGTCCCCATGGGCCGGGTATGACCCATCAAGCAGGTTGATCCAGCCCGCAGAGGCCCTGCCACCCCCGCCCCCAGGCCAATCAGGACCTAGGAACAGGGGAGCATGCAGCACTTAGAGTCAACCCTGACAGTTGACTCTAAGCTCTGTGTGCCGGAAGGCAGGGAGCAAGAGACTTTGCGCGCTACTCCATCCCCAAGCCTTGATTGGCCAGGGGGGTAGGGGCGCATGCAAAGTCTCCTCCCACCCTGCAAGAGGCTCAGAACTTCAAGGCAATTGCCAGCTGCTGCTCAGCCTGCAGTTGACTCTAAGGGTGGTACTCTCTTGCAGGGTGGGGGCAAAGAGTGAAAGACTTTGCATGCTCCCGCTCCCCCTCCCCCAAGCCCTGATTGACCTGGGGGCAGGATGGGGAGCGCATGGGGCATGGGCTCCCAGAGTGAACCGCCAGCTGTTCTGAACAGCTGGTGGTTCTGGGGAGTGGAGGGGTGGGGACAGAGACTTCCTGCCATCTTCCGTCCACAGACCAGTCAGGATCTGTGGATGGGGAAGCATGGAAGTGCCTTGGCCCTGTCCCTTCTGCGACGGCCCGAGGTCATTTTGAAAATTTCTGCCCTTAATGCGAACTGCAGACACACTGCTTGTGGAGGGGAGCAGTGCATGGAACCACACGGTCACTTCACCTATGAACCAGACATGCAAGCTGCTTCCAGGAGCTGCCTGAGGTATGTCCTACCTGGAACCTGCATTGTGTACTCCCTCCCATACCCGCTCCCCCTGCCCCAGATCTGAGCCCCCTTCTGCACCTAAGCTCTCTTTATCAGAGTTCATACCCTGCATCTCCTCCCACACCTCAGGCCAGAGCCCCCTCCCACACTCCAAACCTGCAGCCACAGCCCTAACCTCCTCCCCTTCCTGTATATGCCAAACCCCTTCCTACCCCAGAGCCTCCTCACACATCCAAAACCTCTCGTTTCTGGCCCCATCCCAGAGCCTGCAACCCTCATCTCAGAGCCCACATCCCCACCCACACCACAACTTCCTGTCTCAATTATGAGCCCTCTCTGACAACCAAACCCCTCATTCCCAGTCTCATCACAGAGCCTGAACCCCTCCAGGCCTTATCCCCCCACATCCAAAACCTATTCCACAACCTAGAGCCCTTTACTGCACCCTGAACTCCTCATTTCTGGCTCCACCCCAGAATCCCCTCCTGCACACCAAACACCTCATCCCTGGCTCCGGCCCAGAGCCCTCACCCTATCCTGGACCACAACTGCTGGTCCCAGCCTGATGAAAATGAGCCAAGTCAGCGAGGCTGGGGGGAGAGGGAGGAAGAGTGAACAACAGATGAAGGGGGTGGAATGAGTGAGGGTGGGGCCTCACAGAAGAGGCAGAGCAGGAGTGGGGCAAGTGTGCTTGGCAAGTCTAAGGAGCAGGTCAAATTTGCAATTAGAAAATTGGGAACCCTTGCTAGGATACATGTAGAAAAGTAGAAAAAGCTGAACTTGTCCAGGACAAGAAACTAAGATGGAAAAGTGTGTGAGGACTGATAAAAGATCCAAGGAGGAAAATCGGGACAGACAGACAGCATATGTGGCAGGGAGTGTGGGCAGACTACTGGAGAATAATGATTGGCAGGGGGAGATAAACAGATCTGATGAGGAATTGGAAGGGAAGGAACAGGGACTATGAAGGGAGAGGGGGGAGAAGACTGGAATTGGCTGGGTAAGAAGTTTGGGACTGGGACAAGGAGCCAGAGGAGTGGAGTCTGGGACAGCTAGTTGAAGAGATGGTATTGAAATGAAGAGTCCGGGATAGGGAATAACTGAAACAAGACAGATTTAGGGAAACAGGGTAGAAAGGTTCTGGCATGTGAGGAATAGAGATAGAAGTCTCTGTATCCATTAGAAAACACTGCTGTAGTAGTGCTGAATTTCATCATTCTCCTATCAGCAAATATTTGTGAAACCCACTACCAAACTATGTGTCTCATTCCCTTCTAGAACTAGCCTTTTGAGGGTGACAACCTACATTATTCCTTTAACTCAAGAGATCTAATGGGAGAGGCCTGTGTGGTACATTTAACTGATGACCCATGTGGGTATCAACATGATGCCACACAATACAACTTAGCGTCAGGGGTTTTGGCACTCAAAAATACACTAAAAACCATTATGGTTGCAAAGTTGATCACTCACAAAATTTAG